GAAGCCGGGCAGCGTGTAATGACTCGCTGCCCGGCTTCCTGAGTGGTCGAGAAGCTGGCCAATCAGGAAGCTGGACGCCGTGCTCCCTCATCACCCTCATGCTCCCTCATCACCTCGTTACCATCATTACACGGTGCCTGGCTTCCTGACTGACCGGAAAGCCGGATCCATGCTTTCTCATCACCTAGTACCGAGAAGCATGGAGACGGCTTCCCTGCTAATCGGATGGCGAGTCATTACACGCCGCCTGGCTTCCTTAATGGGACTTCCGGAATCAGCAAGTACCGGAAAAAAATATTGGTACTCGGTACTCGGTACTCGATATATATATAAAAAAAAATGTTTGTCCATTTGTTGTCAGCCTGTAATAAAAAATAGAGCAGGGTCTTATTAATATGGTGTACTGCATTAAATCCTTATGTATCCTTATAAAATGCCAATGTAATATTTTTGAGGTATGCAGATTAGTCTCAGGGTGATGGTCAGGTTTACTGACTCATGCTGGCAATACTATATTTGGCCTGGGTATGTAGGCTTCAATGCGTTAAAGCCCATGTTCACTTGTCACTTTCTCCATGAGTCGTATTTTTTGTGCATTTAACGACTTCTCAAGTATATTCCATTACCTTGGCTTCTCCCTTTGCATGCTTTTTTTCCTCTGCTGTGCCCTTCTGACCCGGCTAGCTTGTTCTGACTTTACTGGTTACTATTGGTGACCTGTGAAGTAATGGAACAAACATAGAAATACCTTGCCGCACTCCTTACCAGGAAGCCCCAAATTAAATAATGGGGGGGTGCTCGCAGTGGCCGCGGATGGCCAATGACCATTGCTGAGCCTAATGAAGGGGACCCTGCGTGGTCCCGAAAGCGCTAGTTCTGGTGACATGATGTACCAATAAACGAACACTTTGGACTTCAACATTATTGGTGTGCTGTCGACATCCGTTTATTTTGTATTGTAAAGTAATGGAACCCCTAGGTGTGCACATTGAAATAGTGGCTGTGATCCCCCTAACCTGATTGTAACCAGCAAGCACAGTGTTGCTCCCAGCAAACTAATGTGATGTAGAATAAAGAAAGTTGCCAAGCTCTGTAACAGAAGAGTTATAATACAGACCGGTCCAGCGGTAGGTGGATCCAATCTTGGCTTCCAGCAGAGCTACAGCAGTCAAAGAATCTTCAGCCTCTGTCCCCCACTGGACACTGTGGATCTACCCGCTGGCTGCTACATTATTACAGCTCTGCAGGGACGCAGAAATGACATAGCACTGGTGGTTGGAACCACAGAGAGCAGCAGGGGGTGAAGGCATCCAACACAGCCCATTATAGTTCTGCAAGAGGGCAAAGTCTGGAGCCACCACTTAGCATGCATGAGAAAATAGGAAGCATCTGTTTTGGATTTTTTTGGTAGAGTAAAAATATATATTGTTGTATTTCTACTACATAAAGTATTAAATGTATTAAGTATTCAATGATATTTACTTATACCCATTAATTTACTTACCTTCATTTTCTCAGTGGTGTATCACTCAGTAAGGAATATATTTGATGTATCTCTTGTGTCAGGTATTTTGTGGGGTCCTTATAGTATGTAATCCGTGTTCAATAGGTGTCCTCGCTGGGCAGCGGGAATGATCATGTGATGGACGCTGTGTCTCAGTGTGAGCAGTACGCCAAGGAACAGGGGGCGCAGGAGCGGAATGCCCCATGGAGACTTTTTTTCAGGAAAGAGATCTTTACCCCCTGGCATGATCCTACTGAGGACAATGTAGCCACCAACCTTATCTATCAGCAGATTGTCAGAGGGGTGAAGTTCGGAGAGTACAGGTGTGACAAGGTGAGTTTAATCTTTGTCCAGGTTCCACATTCGTTATTTTAAATGCATTTTAAAGTGTTTTGTATATATACAAAACTCCCCATTATCCGGCATCCACGGGGATTGGTAGGTTCCGGATAAATGTAGTTTCTGGAGAGTTTCTATTAAAAATAGGTCTAACTAATGCCATACCCCATACTATACCCTGTACTATACCATATTATAACATAAACTCTGTATTGACTTCATATTAATATTGAAAAGCAGTAATCAAAAGCAAATTAAAACAAATTGACACACTTAAGACAAATAGACACAAGATCCTTTCCAGGATAATACATGCCGACAATCAGCAGAACAGTGAGTACACAGGGGATTTTTTTTTCTGGTTAGATGAGAATTCTGGTTATTTGAATACCGGAGAACAGAGTTTACTGTATTTTTTTTTTTTTTTCGTATTAAGGACTAAAAATATTTCACGGGTTCAGACTTATTAATTAAAGCAAAATAATACATCAACGTGTCAAACTGTTTCTATTAAATTAGCTGCTTCATTTTTTAATTACAACACTCAGATCCTACTAACTTGTATAAAGAGAAAGCCAACACTCACCAAATAAAGGCTTTGGAGTGTGCCTGTGGGATTTATGTCCATTCAAAAGAGCATTAGTGAGGTCAGCTACTGATGTTGGATGAGAAGACCTGGCTCACAGTCACCGTTCCAGTTTATTGTAAAGGTGTTCAGTAGGGTTGATGTCAGAGCTCTATGCAGGACTCTCGAGTTCCTCAACGTCAAACTCATCAGACTATGACTTTATGGACCTGGCTTTGGCCACAGTCATGTTGGAACAGTATAGGGCTTTCCCCAAACAGTTGCCACAACATTGAAAGTTCGATTAAAAGTGTACAATGGTCTAAAATGTCTTTATATATTGTATCATTAACACTACCCTTCATTGGAGGCACCTGAACTCAATCATCTGGCGGATTGTCCACATACATTTAGCCATATACATCCAGTCTACATGGATAAAAAGGGGGATTTTTTTATTACCATGTTTTACTTGACCTGGAGAAGTATTTTCTGAATTCAGAACTATGCTCCTCTTTTGTGACCATAGAATATGATTCTTCCCTTACACTCTCAAGTCACTGCTGACCGATCCCCGCACTTCCTGATAATCTAAAACAAACTCTTTTCCTTGCAGGAGGAAGATCTGGCAGAGCTGGCCTCCCAGCAGTACTTTGTGGACTATGGGTCTGAGCTGATCATGGAGAGATTGCTAAATCTTATACCTTCGTACATCCCAGATAGAGAGATCACACCATCCAAGAATGTGGAGAAATGGGTGCAGTTCATAATCGCTGCACACAAAAAGGTCATCGTCATTAACATAGCATAGCTAACAATGACAGCAAGATCTGGATGTTTTAACCATAGTGCCCATTTTATGACTATGCACTATGCTTTCTGACCCCAACAGCCACTTGGCTCATATGTGGGCACACCTCGCTCTATAAAACACAGGTGGTGAGGGACCAACTTCACTTAAATCATGTGATATGGAGCCATATATGACAATTTGTCAGATTAGGGAGGAGAAAGAAGTGCTGGATCAGTAAGCTTTTTATAGGGTGACAGTGTGTGCCTTGTATGATAGTGGAGAAGGAAGCAGTGCTGGAGCAGTTCTCTGTATATAGTGTAACAGTGTGTACTTTCTCAGATAGTGGAGGAGGAAGCAGTACTGGATCAGTAAGCTGTATATAGTGTGACAGTATGTAATTTCTCAGATAATGAAAGAGGAAGCAGTGCTGGATCAGTAAGCTGTATGTAGTGTGACATTGTGTGCCTTGTCATATAGTGGAGGAGGAAGCAGTGATAGATCAGTGTGCTTTGTTTAAGGTCTCAGCGGAAGTGCCTTGGTGGGGTGTGGAGAAAGAAGCAGTGCTAGGTCAGTAATCTGTATAAAAGGCATCATTTTGTGCCTTGTCAGATAGTGGAGGATGAAGCAGAACTGGACCGGAAAGCAGACTATAGTGCAACAGTGTGTACCTTTTCAGAACATGGAGGAGGATTCAGTGCTGGATCAGTAAGCTGTACAGTGACAGTGTGTACCTTGTCTGATGGTAGAGAAGGAAGTTGTACTAGGTCAGTAAGTTGTATATAAGGTGTCAGTTTGCATCCTGTATATAGTGTGACAGTGTATAGCTTGTCAGATAGAGGAGGAGGAAGCAGTGCTGGATCAGTAACCTGTATATAAGGTGACAGTGTGTGCCTTGTCTAAAAGTAGAGGAGGAAGCAGTGCTGGATCAGTAACCTGTATATAAGGTGACAGTGTGTGCCTTGTCTAAAAGTAGAGGAGGAAGCAGTGCTAGGTCAGTAAGTTGTATATAAGGTGTCAGTTTGCATCTTCTCAGATAGTGGAGGATGAAGAAGAACTCAATGAGAAGCTGTATATAGTGTGATATCTTGTCAGATAATGGAGGAGGAAGCAGTGCTGTAACTTGTATATAAGGTGTCAGCGTGTACCTTGTCAGATAGTGGAGGAAGCAGTGCTGAATCAGTAACTTGTATGTAAGGTGTCAGTGTGTACCTTGTCATATAGTGGAGGAGGAAGCAGTGCTGGATGAGTAAGCTGTATATAAGGTTTCAGTGTGTACCTTGTCATATAGTGGAGGAAGCCGTGCTGAATTAGTAAATTGTAAATAAGGTTACAATGCACACCTTGTCATATAGTGGAGGAGGAAGCAGTGCCGGGTCAGTATGCTGTATATAAGGTGTCAGTGTGTATCTTGTCATATAGTGGAGTAGGAAGCAGTGCTGGATGAATAAACTCTATATAAGGTGTCAGTGTGTACCTTGTCAAGCAGTAGTGGAGGAGGAAGCAGTGCTGGATGAGTAAGCTGTATATAAGCTGTTAGTGTGTAACTTATCAAGTATTAGTGGAGGAAGCAGCGCTGGATCATGGACTTTAAGGAATATATTATCCTTCATTGTCTGCAGGTTTCTGTACTATAAAAAACATTATACATTCACTCACTGACTTCCTTTTCCTTTGATTGAACACTAAGGCTGGGTTCACACCTAGGCGTATCGAATATGCCCTGCGATTCGCGGTAAAAAAAACTGTGTGACAAACGCGCGTTTCCGAGGGCTACCTGGCTGTATCCCAATGGCTACACGCGGCAAATACGCCCCAAAGAAGCTCCTGTACTTCTTTGGGCGTAGGGCGTTTTACAGCGCGTTCCTACGCGCTGTAAAACGCTCAGGTGGGAACCATGCCCATAGGCAATCATTGGTTTTCACATGTTGAGCGTTTTACAGAGCGTAGGAACGCGCTTAAAACACCCAGCTGTGAACCAGGCCTAATCCTGTGTTGACCTTCCCCTATCATTCTGTGATTCCTCCAGACGTTGCTGTGTAGTGAGTTTGAGATAACTACCTCTTCATTAGTGTATAGGGATCTTCTCCTGAGCACTACATGTGTGTGTTCTATCTTTGTAGGGCATATATGCTCAGAAGAGGTCCGATGCCCAGAAAGTGAAGGAGAACGTGGTGGATTTTGCCCGATTTAAGTGGCCTTTGCTGTTCTCTAGATTCTATGAGGCCTTCAAGTTCTCAGGTGAGTCATATGGGAATTTACAGTGAGCATATTGCAATATATTCTTTGTGTATTTCCTGTCTGTGTTTAAACTCCAGCCTTCCCTTCAGTCTTGCACAGTTGTACCGGCTCCCCTCTTGTACCATGCATTGTGGCTTACTGCAGCACGGTCTTTGTAATATCCCCCCCCCCGCACACCGCACCGATGCACCCCAAAATCCATCGTGTGCTGGAACAACTGGTGGATGGCGCCACAATGTACGATCTAGAAGATATGTTGTTCGCACACCATTCTGCTTTGGAATGTCCTTTTTATTTGTATTCCTTTAGCATGACATGTGAATGCCACGTTTCTGAGCCTCACAGGACCCCTTCGTCAGGCAAAGTGTCAATAATAGAAAGTGCTATACATCCTTAAAGGAGAACTATGGGGTTAGGGCTTTTCCCCATAGTTCTCCAAAGGGTAACGGGAGGACACAAACTAGCATCCTCCCGTCACCCAAAGCCCCGTATACAGCTTGCGATATATTGAGAAGTCGCAGCCGGGACGGATCCCGACTTTACAGTCGAGATCCACCCAGATGCGTGAGTGACAGCTGGCTCTGCCTATCTAGAGGCAGAGCCAGCTATACCCTCCCCCGTCCGTTCCGCCTGTCAGCGCTGGAGGATCGGACATATCCCTGCAGGGATCCATGAGTGACAGTCACGGCTCTCTGCAGGGATAGATCGAGAAGTGAGCGAGCCACGGTATGTGTTCTCTCACTTCCCGATCTATTGAGCCCACCTGTGACAGTTTAATTGTCACAGGTCCGCTAAGACTATGAGGCTGAGTGATTTTCACTTGCCTCATAGTTCTCCTTTAAATACCCATTGCATTTAACAAAAAAACATGAAAAAACAGAGATATCACTACCCACCGACATCATAATTATGTCATATTCCCGCCAGAATCACTGTCAAAACAAGTAGACAAACTCTGCAAATGACAAGCTCCTAGTCACACAATGACATGCTTCATTGTCACATAGCAGTGGGAGAGTCATATAGTATGCATTGTATTGATGTTTTCATGTTACCTGATGATCTAGGGGTTAATGATCCTCTGATCGGCGTGCTGGTGCCTGCCGCTGTCAGCCCAGATGCCCTGCATTACTGCAGCACAGGGGTTTGGGATGCCATTCAAAATGGCGCAACACTTACCACAACATGTAAGTCCATAAATACCGTGTTTTCCCGAAAATAAGACATTGTCTTATATTTTTTTTGGCTCAAAAAAACACACTAGGTCTTCTTTCCGGGGTAGTCTTATTTTTTTTTTATGTACAACAATCCAAAGTTAACGCAAATCCAAATTAAATAATCCAAAATGGCAAAGTTAAGGAAAGGGTGATCAGGGCAATCAGGGGTGCCGTACCTTTCCAAGAGCAATGTGGTAACCAATCGCTGGCCAGAATGAGCGAAGCGCTCCTTCACTATGGATTCCTCACAGGCGGAGTGCATTTGGTATCACTCTGCCAGTGACAGGAGCCAGTGCTATAAAAGAAGCCTTATGCGGCTCTGATCCCTCCGCTGCCGCCTCGCTTCCTCTAGCGCTGGCTTCGTTGGCACTGCTGATTCTCTCCCACGGCTCTTCAAGTTCCCTCTTATGCCATCACCGACCCTGGGAATGGTCACAACTAGGTCTTATTTTCGGGGTAGGCCTTATATTTTAGCAATTCCCAAAGATAGTACTAGGTCTTATTTTTGGGGTAGGTCTTATTTTAGGGGAAACAGGGTAGGTTTGATGCAATTGCGCTATCTTTATAGACTGCAAAAGCCTAGCCCTCATTAAAGTCCAATGTTCTATGGACTGTAGATACATAATCTTTGTTCTGTTTCCCCAGGACCAAGTCTGCCAAAGAACGATGTGATCGTGGCCGTTAACTGGACCGGGGTCTACTTTGTGGACGAGCAGGAGCAAGTTCTTCTTGAACTTTCCTTCCCTGAGATCATGGCTGTATCCAGCAGCAGGTATCTGGTCTGGAGACAAATGTGAACCTATAAACATCTCAGACATTTGGTTGGACGTACCTGGGACATGAACATACTGTTATATTTATAATTGTGCTTCACAGCATTTATTTATCCTTTTTATTGTGATGTAGTTGTAAGATATTATTGTGTAATAAGTGGTCAGCATCTGTATTATATTTTTTTTCTTGATTTTTTCTAACATTGTTACTTTTTTCTCTCTGCCGTTGTCTTCTGCTGTCCATGGCAGAGGGGGAAAGTTGCAGGGTCAGAGTTTCACCCTGGCTACCATCAAAGGGGATGAGTACACCTTCACCTCCAACAACGCAGAGGACATCAGAGACCTGGTAGTGACTTTCCTGGAGGGATTGAGGAAAAGATCCAAATATGTGGTGGCTCTCCAGGACAATCTGAATCCAGGTATGACTGGCTCTGTAGTCTTTTATTAGATGGGAAGGTTGGAAATTTGGTTTTAAAGACAATATTGCGGCAAAGTCATCCATCTTCGCCACACTGTCACCAAGAGTCACCTAAAAGCGAACAGTCACTCATTATAAAGATCATACACAAAGCCACATTGGCAAAAAAGGATCCTCTCAGTGAAAGGAGTAACCTTCAAGCTTATCGAAACGATGCCACAGCGTATGCTTGCCCTGATCAATGCTAAAGGCGGTCCAACAAAATATTCGAGTGGGTGACTTTTTTTGGCCAGGCAGTGTATTTTTCATATACTTTTATATTTTAGTACAGTATATGACTGTTTATCTGTATTTGTTGTTTTGCTAAACGTTTGCTGAAAATCTATTGAAGGCTGAATTAGGTGTAATCCATTATTTCAAGTGCTGTATTCAATGCCAGGACCACTACAGGGCACACCTAGGCATATGTATATTACCGTAAATGTGATATAAATAAAGTGGACCTGAAACCAAAAAAGTAAAGATTTTCTATGGTATAAGGAACATAAAGAAATGTTAATTGTACCTAGAAACCATATCCTGAATATGTTTGGTTTTCTTTGAATTCTTTCTGAATATTAGCAGTGCACTTCCTGTGCCTAGGCACAGCAGGTTTATAGCTTCATAGCCGTATATTTTCAGTGTAAAATCATCTAAGGCACTGCTGCCTCTGACCGCTCGTCTTACCAGATTTGGAGGGAGATTTGATGTCACTATTGTGCTGTTTATTGTTCTCCTTACTGGAGAGGAAGCAGTACCTGAGGGCCTGCAGTGCAAGGATCTCCCTGCCCCTGCATAATTCATTCTGTGGATCTGGGCCTTTTCTACCTTTCCTGCTGCTTTTTGATTATTCCCCCACCTATCATCCTGGGGGCTGCTCTGATATAAGAAAGATAATCCTTGCCTCTACCAAGATGGTTGCCACCAGGGCATTCTAAGACAGTAATGGGGGAAAGATCAGCTGCAAGAAGCCGACAGGCAATGCTGGTGATTAGTCCTCTGCTTGCCTTTTTTAGCACAACTTCCATAGTAAAGGTGCTCTTTAGGACAAAGCAATGGGTAAAATCTGTATATCATGACAGCGGTCGTTTCCAGGCAGACTTTACAATGTCAGTTCCATGCGAAATCTCATTGAAAACTCAATTGACAATTTTCCTTTGCTCTGTGTATAATGATATATCATTATTATATTAGTTATTAACGCACCAAGCATGGTATACCATTTCTCTATTGCCTAATCGAGTGTATTGTCCTGTCCGTGCAGCAGGTGAAGACTCGGGATTCCTCGGCTTTCAGAAAGGAGATCTGATCACTCTGGACCAGGATACGGGGGAAACCGTCATGAATGCAGGCTGGGCTAATGGATACAATGAACGGAGCAAACAGAAAGGAGACTTCCCTACTGAGATTGTCTATGTGATGCCAACCGTCACTAAGCCTCCCTCGGAGATTGTGGTACGTTCCTGGCAGACGAATGGTTGGCAAATGGTCTTCCAAATTGCTGCACACTTCCATACAGTGGTCTGATGTCTTCCTCTGCTCAGTTACACATGAGAAGAGGGAAGGAAAGTTTTTACCACCCGTGTGCTGCTTGCACCCAACAGTGCTAGGGGTGCAGACATAGGCCATAGCAGTGCTGTCTCCATAGGCACCAGTGGCCTGAGCATTCATATCAATGCTTGCATGTTGCTAAAAGGCCTCTTGTAATGGCGAGATAATGCCCAACATCCAACCTTCATCAGGGATCAAAGGTAAGATAGGTTTGCAAGAAGTGCATTTATATCCTGGTTATTAAAGAATGTATTTGGATGAAATTGTTTGTGCCTGCAGTTTAATTTCAAAGATATCTATACATTTAGTACAGTTACCCTTTACATGAGCCCTCTTCCTCCCCCTAGTCCTATACTCGCCTTTCCTCACTCCTCACAGCTGCTGTTCCATGATTCTCCTGGCTTGACTCTTTAACCTTAATTCTTTTCTGTGGAAAGGATGCCCACTGACTAGTAAGTATAAAACTTTGGGGGGTTTTGAGGGAGGGGATGGGGTAGTCACCTAAAGGATAATTGTACTGAGATTTTAAATTCTATTCTTGCCCCCTCCCCTTATTCCCTAATAGAAAGGAATAAATAGTAAAGCATTCCAGGTTTGGGGCTTGAATAATCAAATGCCTCTCTCTGTGTTTCTATTAAGGCTTTAGTTACAATGACTCCAGATGAGAAGCAGGATGTTGTGCGGACTGTGCAAATGACCACGCACGAGGAGGAGGAGAAGGTTAAGCCGTACACGCTGGAAGAATTCTCCTATGACTATTTCAGGTTAGCATATCATTTTTCACTGCAGAGATTTCACTGCCTGCCCCTGCCAGCAGTAGTGGAGTGGGACCCTTTCTCTGTGTGGGTAAGCACTGGCCCCAAAGGAAATCTCACCGCTCCAATTCCTTAGCCGCCATAAGGACTCCCGAGGTGCTGGTCTAATAGGTGCGTCTCCACCTTGGAATGTAGTAGTATACGAACAGACCGCACATAGAGGTTATGAGAATCTATGAATAAAGGCCGTGACACACTGCACGCGAAGCAGCGCGGAGCGGTGGCGCGCTGCCTTTGCGAGCAGTGTGTCATGTCACTTTCTTCTCGACACCTCAGCTTGCGAGAGCTCGCAGAGCTGAGCGTGCCGAGATGAACAATTTCAACTTCAGCCAATCGGCTCGCGCGTATAAACCGGCGCGACGGGATGCGACGTCTGGCCGGTTGTTACAGACGAGCCGATTGGCTGAAGGTGCGGTCAATCATCTGACTACACTCAGCTCACACACTGCACGCGAAGCTCCGTGCCGGAGAGCTTTGCTTCGCTTTGCACGGCTTCGCGTGCAGTGTGTCACGGTCTTTAGCCTACGGGTGAAACATGTGAGAGGTTGTAGCTGGTTGGGGGTTTGTGGTGCTGCTTTATACACTTTAATTCACTGGTATACTGGATTTGCTGTAAATTTCAATAAAGTCTGAAGTATTGTAATTCTCTGGATAGTGCAGTCTGTTCGTATACTACTAAGCAGTGGCCCCATTGCAGAGATCTGACATGACCCCTACTGAGGCAGACCTACAGATCTGCAATCAGCAAAGTTCAAGCTCCCAGCTAAATGGAGAGCTCTGGCTTTGAGGCATGTCAGAACTCTGCAGAGAGGCCACTGTTTCCATACAGAGAGCAAAGGTCCTTATCTACAGCATGCTGGCAGAGGACAGGCTTTTGCATTTTTATAGAAGAATGTAAGACTTTACCTTTTGTTCTGATGCACCTGGAATGTATTTACCTAATTTAAACTGAAAGTTTGATTGGGCTTTAACAACGTGCAATGCATCTATTCTAAGAATTACATCCACTGGCTCTGTGACCTTATCTGTAAGGGATAAAAGTTCCCTTATTAGGTTTCTATTTGTACGCATCAAGGTCCGTGGAGGTCCGGGCCCCTTTGGGATTGCAAATTATGGCATTGATATGTCGCCATGTTGTTTATAAAGAGCCAAGTACTGCCAGCCTGAATGGTTTACACATGAGCTAGCATCGGACTGTCACATGATCAAATCAGATGGACCCATTTTTTCCCCCCTTGTTTTGAGAGAAGTGGTTTTGGCATCTGATGCTCTTTCTTTTCCCCCTTTACTCTACATAGACTGAGCTGAAGATTCATGTTTATGGCAGTGTCAAAAGTTTCAAAGGACAGTCAGACCATCCTTGGAGCAGTTTCTTGTCTACAGGCCTGCTCTTTCTGATCCCCTTAAAGGAAACTTTAACTGAGAGCAATATGACCCCTTTCACATGGGCCGATCAGGAGGGGATCCATGCATAGATCCTCTCCCGATCAGAGCAGTACGGAGCGGATGTCATCTGGTCTGTGACATCCGTCTCCGACCAGTTTTTTCCTCCATCTTCCGATGGGAATCGAATGTAAATGGACATGTATCCGTTTACATCAGATTACCCCCCGATCTGGCACGATCAGGTCCAGCTAAACGGATCTCTGATCCATTTGTTTTTCCAGATCCGGACAAAGTTGGGGGTAATGGGGTGTAAACAGACACTGGTCCATTTACACACGGCTGCCTGTAGACTTACATTGGGCATTCTATTGGGTCCACTTGAAAAACTGACCTTGTTCTCCAGTGGTATCCAAACCGCTAGCCCCAACCCTTCTTTCCTGTACAGTTGCCTCCAGCAGCTAGCTGGCTGCTGTAGAGGCACCTGTGCGTGCATGCTTACGGTGGTGCCCACACCCAGCTATGTGCCAGCCATGCCCCCACTCTTGCAGTCACAGTTTGATTGACGGCAGAAAGAGCCTTTGTGTGGGGGGGGGGAGGGGGAAGAGTCTGGGGTTTTAGAAACGTACATGGCTTTAGTACCACTTTAAGAACCAACTGGCATTTTCCAACCGTAAGCTATTTTTGAGTGTACATATTACATAAGCTCAGAGGCAGAAGGGGTGTCTGATCCCCCAAAACACATTGGTAGCAAAAATCTTTAGTATGTTGGGTGGCTAACCGACTCCCCTCACAGCTATGGTGCACTGAGCCATGACCCATGTGGCCTTGATAAAAATCTCGCCCTGGCTAAGTAAAACGTGTGTGTAAAAGGAAACTGTCACATTCATGCATTTGTTTCTTGAAAACCCTTTTGTGCATCTAATACCTTTCTTCTTCTGTTTAAAGGCCGCCTCCGAAACACACACTGAGCCGCGTCATGATCACTAAAAACCGTGGGAAGGACAAACTGTGGTGCTACACCCGAGAGCCAATTAAACAAGCCCTTCTAAGGAAAGTGCTGATAAGTGATGAGCTGTCACAGGAGGCCTGCATGGCATTTATTGATATCCTTTCATAAAAGACCCATTATTTTAGTTTATTATGTTGGAGCTGCTCCTAGCATACATCCATAGAGTCCATATTTTATATTATGTTGATGTTTACAATAATCTCAGTAAATCCAGAGAGAGCGAGAGGAAAACACTCATATTAAGAGTGGTGCCATATGCTATGATAGAGTAGGGAAGAGTTGAAACCAATGTTGATTTTTTTTTTTGCCATCTACGCCCCGCTGGGGAGATTTTTTGGAATATTCGCGAAGCAGCAGGAGAGGTGGCGGAAGCACAGATCCAGAGAAGGTATGAAGCAGATGCAGGGAGATCCTTGCACTGCAGGTCTTTAGGTACAGTTTTCTCTCCAGCAAGGAGAATAGAGAGCAGCACAGTAGTGACATCACCAAATCTCACTCCAAATCTGCTGAAAATGGCAATCAAAGGGAGCAGTGCCTTAGATGATGTCCCACTGCAGACATACAGCTACAAGGCTTCAGGCATGGGGGGGAAGGGAGTTAGGGGGGGTGCCAGGCACAGTAAATGCAGTGCTGTTTCTCAGGCAGAATTTAAAGGAGAACTATGAGGTGAGTGATTTCCACTCATCCTCATAGTTAGAGCCGCCCTGTGACAAAGAAGCTGTCACAGGTCGGCTCTGTTGATCAGGAAGTGAGCGGAAACATGCACCGATCCGCTCACTTCTTGATCGCCTCCCTGCAGTGAGCGGTGACTGTCAGTCACCGCAGGGATTCCCCCCTCCCTTCTCCGATTCTCCAGCGCTGAGTGGAGGAACAGACGGGGGAGGGGGCGGGCACAGCTGGCTCTGCCTCTAGATAGACGGAGCCCACTGTCACTCACACAGCTGGGTGGATCTCGACAGTATTGTCGGGATCCGTCCCGGCTACGGCAATCTCAGTATTGCTTGCGATATACTGAGCTTTGGGTCACGGGAGGAGGTTGGTATATGTCCTCCCTTTACCCTAAAGAGAACTATGGGGAAAAACACTTACCCCATAGTTCTCTTTTAAGACAAGACATTCATCTTGTGTGCCTTTTACCATGGTGATGCTAAAAGGTTAGGTTGTGTGAGAGTTTGGTATGACTAGCACTGATGTTCTGAGAAGCTGCAGATGGAGAGTTGCTACCATCAGACTGTAAGAACACATAGGGAATAACTATTCAAATGTACAGATATAGAGAAATGCTTGCATTCCTGTATGTTTCTCGCATTCCTTGACTTCCATTGTTCACCAATGCTAAAGTATATGGGGGACTACCCGTCTAAGCGTATGCGATCGGTCAACGAGCTGACAGATCAGATCTTTGAAGGTGCCTTAAAAGCAGAATCACTAAAAGACGAGATCTACTGTCAGATCCTAAAGCAGCTCACCGAAAACCACATCAAGTAAGTTACCACATCCATGTGCAATGCGACTGTCATGCAGAACCGTAGTCTTCTATACTTTCTGTGCTCCCTGCAATAAGTCTGCACATCCGGAGTTCTGACTTCTCCAGTTGCATATTGTTTCCCAAGTTGGTGTCTCAGAAATGATTGAAGCCAGAAGATCAGCATGGCAGACATGAAACTGTCAATTTTAATGGGCCCATCTAAGAAGGCTTCCATCTTTTCCATAGGAAAGACCTTGGAAAATTCCCTATAACCGGAATGCACATTCCCTATTTAACATTACTGCTTGATGGTGCTGCAGTCATTTATATTACATGATAGGGTGATAATGTATATGGTTAGCTCCTATAGTCTCCCAGTCTAGTTGGTAGGCAGGTTAGCCAGGATGACAAGTGAGACATCAGCTTGCACTCAAACCCTTTAGGATCTTCTGGGCACCTTGGCTGATTTATATATGGGACACACTCACCTTTATCACTTTTTGTTTCTCAGTGATAAAAGACCACTTGGTGCCTGCTCAGACAGGTATCCTCATGTATCTAGTAAAGCTCATATGCCCAAGCTAGAACTGGGTCATATATCATCCTACGGTAACACTAGTATCACTTTTGTTGTTTAACCCAGGTTTGGATAGTTCAGTAACCCATAGTGGCCAATCAAAAACAACTGTTTACTGTAGCTTGCTGCATTAGCTTAATATTATTGCTTTTAGTGTTCCTTATTGAATATCTTTTTTGTTGTTATTGTCAGGGAGCCATATGACTTCCTTGTAAGCTTGTAGCTGCAGCCACTTAGACCCCTGTTTCCATAATTGTGCTCCTACATAACCTAATACTGGCTTAAAAGATATGTGTAAAGGCTACAAAGCATTGGCCTACACTAGCAAAAGGTTACAAAAATCTTGGCCTACACTACTGTAGTAAAAAGCAACAAGAAACTTGGCCTACACTAGCATTAAAGCTACAAAACTCTTGGCCTACAATAGCAAAAAAGGTACAAAACTCTTGGCCTACACCAGCAAAAAGGCTACAAGAAGCTTGGCCTACACTAGCATAAAAGCTACAAAACTCTTGGCCTACACTAGCAAAAAAGCTACAAGAAAATTGGCCTACACTAGCATAAAAGCTACAAAACTCTTGGCCTACACTAGCAAAAAGGCTACAAGAAGCTTGGCCTACACTAGCATAAAAGGTAGAAAACTATTGTCCTACACTAGCAAAAAGGCTACAAGAAGCTTGGCCTACACTAGCATAAAAGCTACAAAACCCTTGGTCTACACTAGCAAAGAGGCTACAAGAACCTTTGCCTACAGAAGCAAAAATGCTCCAAGAACCTTGGCCTACACTAGCAAAGTTTCTAGACAACATAACATATGCTTATATTAAACTAAAATCATTGGATGCCTTTATGTTTATACATCTTTCAAATCCATATGTAAAGAAGACGGAGAGAAGAAAGTGGTAGGTTTGCTTCTCTATGCTAACTGTTGGAAAGGGAAAATTATAATGGTTTGAGGTGGATTTGATTTTCAATGTATAATGATATAGCTAGTGGTAGTTAGTCACATTTATCTGGACTTGTTCTGTTTATGATAGATGTTTTACAAATCATACAAGTAGCTTCTGATCAACAAAACTTCCATAAATAAGAAAAACCAATTTACCAAAATAAAATAAGCAGGAAAGAATGGAAAATAGCTATAAGACTTTTTTTTCATTAATCATCAATAATTCTACAGCTATGTATATTTTATGATACATATTTAAGCAGTGCCCAGGAACACCCTATTTTTGCTTGTCTTCCAGGTACAGCGAGGAGAAGGGATGGGAGCTGCTGTGGTTGACCACCGGGCTTTTCCCACCCAGCAACATTCTGCTTCCCCAAGTGCAGAGGTTCATCCAGTCCCGCAAGCAGCATGTCCTGGCCGCAGACTGCATGCACAGGCTTCAGAGAGCCATCCGGTACGAAAATATTGCAAAAAAAACAGTACCAGAGAATGACAGTGTCAAATGTAAGAGCTAAACAAAGTGATAAGCTCTTCTAGACAAGGTTAGAGGTTAGATAAACTCTTTTAGAGGGTCTATGTAGACTAAAATATGAGTATGTTGCTTACCTGGGGAAGAGATGGCACCAAGATGGGAAGAAGGTAAGCTGGCGGCGGCAGTGTGATGCTTTGGGCAATGTTCTGCTGGGAAACCTCCTGCCATTCATGTGGATGTTGACAAATACCCCTACCTAAACATTGTTGCTAACCAAGTACACCGCTTCATGGAAACTGTATTCACTGATGGCAGTGGCCTCTTTTAGCAGGATAATGCGCCCTGCCACACTGCAAAATGGTTCAGGAATGGTTTGAGGAGTTTGAGGTGTTGACTCTCCAAATTCTCTTAAGCCATTCGAACATCTGTGGGATGCGCTGGAAAAACAAGTCCGATCCATGGAGGTCTCACCTCACAACTTACAGGACTTAAAGGATCTGCTACTGACGGCTTGGTGCCAGATACCACAGGTGCCAGATAGTGGAGTCCATGTCTCAATGAGTCAGGGCTGTTTTGGCAGCAAAAGGGGGGCCTACTTAATATTAGGAGTGTGGTCCTAATGTTATGTAAATTCTGGTGTGTTCCTTCCCTTCACCAAGTAGATACCTGAATTCTTTATGTACCAAATTTTTATTTTTAGACTTGCACAGCCTATACAATTACAAACCTTATCCCTTCTTCCCACAAAACAAAACATCTGCCACATGACCGGTTGGGTTACATGATACATTCGTATGGTATTTTCAGAATACATGGTGAAACAGAAAAGTTTAGCCAACAAAGCATGAGCGTGCTTTCACAAAGTACATCAAGTGGAGCATTGGTATAGCCCACAGTACAAATAGAATTTAAGGCATGCATCCAAATCCCAAACCTTCCACAGATAACCAAGATTGCATGTGACATAGTTTGTACAGTTTCAACATCACTGTTCAGCCATTCACAAAAGGTAAGAGGGCTAGGAGAGATCCACTTCTGGGCTATTCGTTTTCTGGCCAGAAAAAGTAGTCTTGTTATTGCCATAGATAAAGCAGAGGTTTTTTTAGCTGTCAGGATCTGGAACTACCTGGATGTTTAATTGGCATCAAGCTGTCTTCCACCCGAAAGGTAATGTAAGTCAAGAAATATAAAGGAAACCTAACTGACATCTCTGCAAGGAGAGAGGAAGCGGGTGTCTCCTTCCTCTGTCAGTCAATCTGCAGTCTGTGTAATCTGAAGGAAATCCATACAGAAAGAAATATGTAGGTTGCCATTGCGTACTTCTTTCTGAAAATACTAGTTGGCAGACTGTCATGCTTTTCTTCTGCTTATAATGCTTTCTGAGCACAGATCTGAAACAAAGTGCAAACAGCATGTTAATGTCTTTCCGCCCCCAGCCCATAGATTAACAGTCCCCAGCATGAAGCCTCATCCTGAGAGAACGTTATTCAATACTGATTCCTGGAACTAGAATCCAATAGTAATGCGGGCTCCCAGTTCTGAGCTTGTTCTGATCTCTTACTGACAATCGGTAATCACTCTGATTGGATCACGGTAACCACTGATCACGGTGGATCAGTGGTTAATATGACAGCCAATTCTGGTGATCACAAGTGTCTGTTTACAAAACAGACCCGCCCACTGAGCTGTCATTGTACCTTGCACAGAGAGAGGCACAGTGACAGCTGCCTACTGCTGTTAAAGGGAAACTTTTTTTTTTGAGTATGCAAAAATGATTTAAGTAGGTACATAAGTTCTAGAGTTACTGTCAAGCTAGGCAATGTATACTGGCACTGCTAAATTCAGTCTGAACATCTAGGCATCACTGACCTCCAGTCATGAAGGTACAGGAATCTGTAGACTGTTCTTACTTTGCTAACCTTGTCTCAGGCCATATAACAGAGACTTCCATAACCTCAGATTGCCTTCATAGTGCCCTGGGGTCTCCAAAATCCTCTATTTTGAAGACAGCAACTGTAGATTCCATGTTCCTGCTGTGACTTACCTCCTCACACTGACATCTCTATCTGCTGGCCAATAGGTAAGCATGGGCATGGTAGAAGGTAGGCCAGGACACAACCTTAAAATCAGAACAGAACACATAGGATTAGATGATCTTAACGTGCTCTGACGACAGTATGAAGATGTGGAGTGCCTGCTCGGTGCATGGGGGACCAAGTGACAAAGCAAGAAGAACCCACAGGCTTTCTAAAAGTCACAGCCCTTGATAGACATACATGTTCCAGGTATATAGCACTAAAGGCAACATTTCTTTTGGAGGTCAGCAATGGCAGACTACATATTTACATGCAAGCTTCCTTTAAATTATTATTAGTTCTCTTAGCTTTATGTACATTTTCGGGAATCAATTATATTACTGTAATTAAATGTTTTATATAACTCAGTCTACATTTTCCCTTGTGTAGGAATGGCTCCAGGAAGTACCCGCCACATCTGGTAGAGGTGGAAGCGATTCAGCACAAAACCACCCAGATTTTCCACAAAGTATACTTCCCAGATGACACAGATGAGGTGAGCAATAAAGAAGAGAAGATGAATAATATGCATAGGGGGGGGGCCATTTGCCCCTAGGCCAGTACAAATAATATATGATTATCAGGTGGCTGTGTGGAGATACTCCCCTATTCAGACTTTAAATAGACTGGAACATGCAGCTAGTCACCGCTGATGGTGTTATACAGCTATCCAAATCCTTGTTTAGACCTGCAATCAGGATGCCTGACAGAGGGAATCCTTCCAGCATCAACTTTCTTTTCAGCTTTGAGATGTCATGTGACTGAATGCCGAGAACTGCAAAGAAATTATTGCTGGAAGAATGCATAACTGTAGTATGTGCTGTGCTCAGGTGTTTGATAATTGTGTTTGCCAAACGTTTTAAGTTCTCTGGGCAGGCGGCTGAGACATCTGCCTATCCTCAGCCAAACTGTGAGCTAATTGGACCTGCCACACTCATTTTCCAATTTTGTCTGCCATATTTTATTCTGGTTGTGAAAGCTGGTGTTCTGTTTTCTTCATTAAAAAAGAAACAGTCAACTATAAGTTGCAAAAAGATTTTCCAACATTTTGAAGTATTTCTTCATTATCTGAAGGGCTCATAATCTAGCACAAATGCTTAAATCTGCTTCGGTAGACACGATCTGTGTGAATTGTCTTCTAAGCAGCAGCCACCATTGCGGCACAGCATTAGAGGTATCTTAGTGGTACCTAGCTAATGCCCTAATAGAGTGTTCGCCAACACTTCAGCTTGAACTTGATTTTTTCAAGGGATTTGCTTTGGGAAAGCATGGTGATTGCTATGAATGACAACTTACAGGGTTATTCACAAAAGGGTGAAGAGTTTGGAGAAGGCAGGAGAAGTAAAAAATCTAGGAGAACATAGCTGAACTGGAAAGTGAGCTGAATTGGAGAATTTTTCCAAATCAGCTATGTTGTCCTAGATTGTTCCCTTCTCCTGCCTTCTCCAAACTCTTCACCCTTTTGTGAATAACCCTTTCAGTTTTTTATAAACAAGCCCCATTTTCTGCTACAAATGTATGTCCTAAAAAGTCCTATTGAATGTGAGCTGTTCATGTCTTACAGGCATTCGAAGTCGAGTCTAGCACCAAAGCCAAGGATTTCTGCCAAGATATTGCTAACCGGCTGCTCCTGAAATCCCCGGAAGGTTTCAGCCTGTTTGTAAAGATTTCTGATAAGGTGACAATGACGGAAGTTCGCAGCTTTAGAACTCAGAATGAAGTTAAATTGTGTACTTGTGTGTCACTACATTTGGCAGAACAATTTGAGAAGTTCAATTGATATATTTATATCATAAATTAAAAATGGTTCTTTTTTTAATAAGTGTAACTCTATTGTGTGTATCAGTGCTGGTTATAGGCTTCAGATGGTCCTAGTGCAGTGCACTTCTTTGGGCATTTCTTTAAGGGCTCATGTAGATGGATGTTGACGTCAAAGGCTGCCTTTAGCATTCAAACTCAGCTCTGCTCAAATGCATCTCAACCGAACCTGCTGTGTCTAAACTTAAAGGAGTTCCAAAGTCCCAGCATATCCTCTCCTGTTATAACATCAGCATTGTAATAGGAATACATACTAGAGTTGTTTTTGATAATACAATGAAAGCTTACTTGATACAATCCCTTTTATGTAGTGAGTGCTGCCTTCCATCTGCCCATCACTTCCACCAACTTCCTGGATTCCCAGTGTGCTTTGTGTCTCGTTCCCTGGTGCTTTAGGTGGTGCATTTTCAATTTCCCAAGAATACATAGCCCATCGTGCATTGCTTCCAGCAAGCAGGAGGATTAGCAAACAAAAAAAAAAACTGTAGACCAGCCCAGGAGAACCACTTCAGCTTAATACTAGTGTTCTAGGAGAATGAACATCCTTTGTTTAGCTCTGCTGTTAAAAGATGAACTTATTTGTTTGCTGTGTTGCCCACCTTTCTGCTGGACACTGTTTGGACGTTCCAAAGGTGAAAGACTTCCTGTGTTGCTCAATGGATCAAAAAGAAAATAGAATATTTGTACTCACCACAAAATCCTTTTCTTGGAGTCCATTGAGTGACACAGGTCCCACCAACTATGGGTTTATGATCATGCTCTTGGTGCTGCTTTGCTACAAAACTGAAGCATGCTGGGATTGGGAGGTGTTATCCTGGGCTGGTCTACAGTTTTTTTGTTTGTCATTGTCCAATCCTCCCATAGGGAACAGCATAACCCAAATATGAAAGAGTTCCTGTGGCCGTCAATGGACTACAAGAAAAGGGCTTCACCCTCTTACCGGCTTTTATTACATTTTGGGAAAACACTGATTCATCTATAACACATGAGAATTATATGGAGAGTCAGTCATTTTATTACTCTATCCCATGTCTTATAGAAGCCCATTATGGCAAGTTGTAGGTTGGATTGAACATAGGATCAGATATTGGATATGGAATTAATTTAGGAACCCTAAAAAATAGAGAAATCAGAGCTCAGACTTAATGTATATATATATATATTTTTTTTTTTTTCTGTACACGTCCCCTTGAGCAATTTCACCTCACTGCTTGTCTCGAGACACAATCAAAACAAGTGAAGATTTCTCCAAAGTAAGGGAAACCATCTCTAAGACAGTTGTCACTGGAACAGGTGTCCCCATTGGAATATTTACCCTCTCTACCTGTTCTGATGACAACTCAAATTTTTAGACTTTCACTCACTTCCAGTTCCGGTGGCAATGGTCACTTGGACAAATAAAGAGGGCAAATCTGTACAGCGAGGGACACAGCAATAAAAATCTAAATATGTAAGCAGTAAAAGTGCCACACCAATGGTTAAGAAGTCCCATATATTCTTTTTTATTATACATTCCGTGGAATAAAGGATGCAATGTGTTTTAGAGGTTCAGACCCTGCCCCATCATCAGAGTAACAACACAAGTGAAAGAATATAAAGTGTTGTTAAAAAATAATACAATTCAGATTTGAAAGGTTGAACACAATATGAATTTTATTATTTTATCTGAACTTTTACTTTTCACTGTGTTGCAGTCCTGACAAAGGGGAGTATCTGAATCCTGAAGGTTGAATCCCATGACCATTGGTGTGGAACTCTAACTGTGTCTTTCATATTTGGACTTCTCTTAAGGCCCCCCTCTTTTTGGGGGTGTTCTGGTACATGTGAGCAGCCTTACCATAGAGAGTCAGGTTGATCACTGAATAATGTCGATTAACTCACCTCACTCCTTACCATACGGTCCCTAAATGTTAGCAGGTACAGCGGTGACAAACTGATGGTGCCATCAGAATATGAGAATGGGTAGACATCTTTATTGACGCAAGTGTGTAGAATGACATAAAAGCCTTTCTGGGCTGCACAGGGTGCCCTTTATCAGGCAGAACCATGTGAAAGTTGATCACTGAGATAGTCTTTCACAACACTACATATTAACAATAGAGCGTCTAGCACCTCTTATGCAAGTACCAGCAATAAGAAATCTGACAGTAGTTCCAACCCTTCCCTTATCAAAAATGGCTTTAGATTCACTTTAACCTTTATTCATTATTACTCAGTCCATAGTGGGACTCCTAGACTTGGGCTGACTAAATCTGTTTATCTCTTTTTAGGTTATAAGTGTCCCAGAAGGAGACTTTTTCTTTGACTTTGTCAGACATTTGACGGACTGGATAAAGAAAGCCCGGCCGTCCAAGGATGGTAAGATCTGACACAAACTCTCTGGAGGCGTGTTCTTCTATGGCTATGTGGTTAGCATGCTTGTTTTGTGGCTCTCGGCTCTGAGCGTGATCTATGTCAGGCATGCTACCTGTCTACGTACTTTTTAGGTTTTGTCTCTAGTCCTTTACAGTCTAGAACAGGGGTCGCCAACTGAATTCATTCAGGGGCCACTTGATAAATCTTTTCCTCCCATGGGGGCCGTTTGCCAAATTTCATATTTCAAAATAAAATGTAACAATATCCGGTATGGTTCTACAGACACTAATATACTCACAATAAGGCCCCAATCATACCTGTAAGTTTAGGTGTGATTAAGGATTCCTGCGTCAGGAACTTGTGTTTTCCTGCAGCAGGAATCCCTAATCTGGCATTTACAAGTGGCAGCTGTCACCCATTCAAGTAAATGATCAGGTGATAGCAGCTGCATGTAAGTGCCTGCACAATGCATGTAATGGTATATGATATGATTACATGCGGTTAGAAAACACTCTTCCTGGATGCACAATCGATCATGCGTCCTGAGATAGTGATTATTTTCTAACCACATGTAAACATATCACATATCATTACATGCGGTGTGCAGGCATTTCCAAGCAGCGGCTGTCATCTGATCATTAGCTTGACAAACGCCAGATTAGGGATTCCTGCTGCAGGAAAACTCAAGTTCCTGATGCAGGAATCCCTAACTGCACCTAAACTTACAGGTGTGAATGGAGACTAATACATTACCCAATGTGGCTTTGCTTGTTGAAAGCTTGCTGTTATCCCCATGACAGTTCGACATTACAGGCATTGTGCATGGTTACATTTGTTGTACCTGAGACCCATTCTACAAATAGCACACTACCATCCGACAATGTTATGAGTTACAGGAATAGTGTCTTCTCTAACCTACCATCCTACAATGTTATATGTTACAGGAATAGTGTCTTCTCTCACCTACCATCCCACATTGTTATATGTTACAGGAATAGTGTCTTCTCTCACCTACCATCCCACATTGTTATATGTTACAGGAATAGTGTCTTCTCTCACCTACCATCCCACATTGTTATATGTTACAGGAATAGTATCTTCTCTCACCTACCATCCCACATTGTTATATGTTACAGGACTAGTGTCTTCTCTCACCTACCATCCCACATTGTTATATGTTACAGGAATAGTGTCTTCTCTTACCTACCATCCTACAATGTTATATGTTACAGGAATAGTGCCTTCTCTCACCTACCATCCCACATTGTTATATGTTACACGAATAGTGTCTTCTCTCACCTACCATCCCACATTGTTATATGTTACAGGAATAGTATCTTCTCTCACCTACCATCCCACATTGTTATATGTTACAGGACTAGTGTCTTCTCTCACCTACCATCCCACATTGTTATATGTTACAGGAATAGTGTCTTCTCTCACCTACCATCCCACATTGTTATATGTTACAGGAATAGTGCCTTCTCTCACCTACCAAGTGTTCTTCATGAAAAAATTGTGGACAAATACAGTTCCCGCAAAGGATCCGATGGCTGACTCCATCTTCCACTACTATCAGGTATTGACATTTTTATTTAGAGTCTCAGCTTATATCTTATAAACTAAAAACCTTCCACCGAATGAAGGTGACAGTCATTCAGCAGGGACCTTTTTTCATTGAGGCCAAACCTAACTTTTGTCTTAGGGGTCGCCTAAAGGCAGTCAGAGTGGGAGATAGACAGACAGGTTGGGATAGAGAGTTCCATAGGATGGGAGAGGCTCTAGTGAAGTCCTGGAGGCGAGCATGGGAGGAGTTGATGAGGGAGCTGGAAAGCAGAATGTCATTTGAAGAGCCGAGTGGACGGTTAGGGTGATATTTTGAGACAAGGTCTGAGATATAGCCGGGTAGAGTTGTGGATGGCTTTGTAAGTGATTGTTAATATTTTGAATTTTATCCTTTGGGCTATTGGAAGCCAGTGCAGGGATCGACAGAGGGGGGGAGCAAACACTGAGCGGTTGGTTAGGTGGATAAGTCTAGCAGCTGCATTCATGACAGACTGAAGGGGGGAGGAGCCTGTGTAGTGGAAGGCCAATGAGGAGGGAGTTGCAATAGTCAAGACGAGATATAACAAGGGAGTGGATAAGCAGCTTTGTGGTTTCATTGGTGAGGAAGGGGCGTATTTTGGAGATGTTACGAAGGTGAAGGCGGCAGGATTTGGATAGTGATTGGATGTGGGTAAGAAAGGTGAGGTCCGAGTCAAAGATGACACCTAGCACCTTGGCATGGGGGGGAGGGGTGGATAGTTGTGTTATCAATCTCAAGGGAAAAGTTGGGGTAAGGTGCGTGGGCGGGAGGAAATATCATGAGCATATTCATATGTAAATATCACAGTTGAGACTATCTTTAGTGGGGGCCAGTAGTCCCTGTCTTCATTTTGGTTGCCCCTGTCTGTCTGATACCCGGACACAGCATTCAAGTGACGCTAGTTTGTGTCCTCCCGTTACCCTAAGGAGAACTACGGGGGAAAATACTGACCCCATAGTTCTCCTTTAAGCTGTTGATGATCTCCAAAAACTTTTCAGTGGCCAGAGTAAACTAGTAAAAATGCGAATACAGTAATACCTTGTGTTTTGCAAGACAAGCAAACATTTCTGAAAAATTTTGCCTTGATACACAAGCAATGTCTTGCATTAAGAGCAAAATTTTGTAGAAAAGTACCACCCGAATAAGGCTGTAGCAGTGCGAGCGATGAGTCTGTTTAACGACAATGTAATGTCACATTGGATAGATTCCTTGTTAAGGTTTCACGAAATGAAAAAGATTCCATTGAGCCAAGAGATAGCAGTGATTCCGTTAGTGATAGTGAAAGTCGTCCTACACAATAATCCTCCTCTCTCTTGTCCCCCTCACCCCAGCCACGAAGGTAACCCGAAATTGGGTTATTTTTCTTTATATTTTGTACAGTATTATATTACTATATTGTATTGTAATCATTTTTCTGTGAATATTTTTGGGTTGTGGAACGAATCATCTGAATTTCCATTATTTCCTATGGGGAAATTCGCTTTGATATACAAGCGCTTTGGATTACAAGCATGCTTCCGGAACGAATTATGCTCGTAAACCAAGGTATTACTGTAGTAACTTTTTAAACCTTCCTTGATTTTTGATAGATATGATCAAAGTATACCTGACATTGCCCACTCAGGGTAAAGTGACGGGTTCACTTGATAGCTCTTCCCCTCTCCTGCTGATACCTCTATTAACACACTCCTCCAACACTATGTTCTCCTGCGATACCCTGTAGCAATACTCAATACTGTCAGATATGTTGGAGCTCATGACCTTCTCCTCTTCCTTCCCACAAATCAGTGCTCAACATCTGATCGAACAGGGGCCAAGCAATGACAAATGGTGGCAGGGTTCTCCCCCTTTTTAGCCCTGTGTAAGCTTTGACAAAGACCAACATGGAGCATGCACAGGGATATTAACTCAGTGCTCCAGCAGGTGTGTAACGCATATAAAAAGGATGGAGAAGGTATCAGCAGCAGGAGGGGGTAGGGTGTCAAGAGAATCAGCAAGGGTTCTTTAAAGGAGAACTATGGGGTTAAGGCTTTTCCCCATAGTTCTCCTTCCCGATCTACTGAGCCGACCTGTGACAGTTTCACTCACCTCATAGTTCTCCTTTAAGAAGCAAAAAGAGGACCCCACTAATGGTCAAAGAGTTTAAAATGATGTTGTATTCAATAATCAGTAGAAAATGCAACGCGTTTTGGGGCCTCTTCATCAGGGCTTGTGTATTGTATGATTTCAAATATGGCCGTGCTCAGTTGAATTGCAATGAATGGGTGTGTGTGTGTGTGTGTGTTGTGCATATATATACAATATATACTGTTTAGATATCATGTAAATGTTTGTGCAGATTGGAGCTCATTCTTTAAGATGGCCTTGTCTTATAGCATATGAAGTGACATAAACACATCAAGGGTGATTTATCAAAACTGGGGCAGACAAAACCTGGAGCAGTTGCCCATGGCAACCAATCAGCTTCTCTATTCAGTTTGTTAAGATTTGAAAATGAAAGAGAGAAGCTGATGGGTTGCCATGCACAGCTGCTCCAGGTTTGATAAATCCCCCTCATCATATTTAGTTTTCTTATCTATTGGCTCTCACGACTGCCACAAAGTGATAAGCCCCTTTAATGTTATCTTCCCCGTATGTGTCCTATTCGCAGGAGCTCCCGAAATACTTACGCGGATACCATAAGTGCACGAGGGAAGACGTCCTCCAGTTGGCTGCTCTGATCTACAGAGTCAAGTATGAAGATGATAAGTCCTATTTCCCAAATATCCCCAAGATGCTGAAAGAACTAGTTCCTCAAGATCTCCTCCGGCAGCTGAATCCCGATGACTGGAAGAGGGTGGGTCCAACATCTAGTTTGCCTCCATGCTAATTCTACATAATCGGATCTCAAGTTTGGCTCTTATTGTCTTAAAACCCAACAGAAGACACAGAAATAGATACGCAACCAGATGGACTACCACTGTGTTTAGTCTCACAGTTACATCACTTGTGCAGGTTGTCTAAAAATGAGGTGCAATGGCCCCAAAATTAGACCCAGTGCTCTCAGTAATCAGTATTCGGTAGAGGTGCACCGAAATAAAAATTTCAAAACCGAAACGAAACTGAAATAAAAAATAAATGTCAGGCCGAAACCAAAAATGTTTTTTATTCTAACTTTTTAACTTTTTAATTTTTATAAAAAACATTTTCGGTATCGGTTTCGGCCTGACATTTTTTTTAATTTCGGTTTCGTTTCGGTTTTAAAATTTCCATTTCGGTGCACCTCTAGTAATAATCATTGTTTCCTAACATAATGAGAAAAAAAATGTTTTCTTCCCAAAAATTTCAATAATGTTTCCTTAATATAGTAAAAAATTAAAACCCCAGTGGTGATTAACCCCTTCGTGACTGACGACGTACAGTGTACGTCGCCAGCATCGGGGCTATTTAAACAGACTCCCAGCGACTTTTGCCGCCGGGACTCTGTTTAAACTTGTAGAGCCGACTGTCGGCTTTACAACAGAAGCGATCCTGGCGACTTACCTGTCGCCAGATCGCTTCTGTGTCCCGAAGAAGGGGCTTGTAAGCCCCTCTATGTGATAGCAGTCAAAGTAAAGTTAAAAAAAAAAGCTTTTTCAATTAAAATTAAATAAAATCAATCTAATAATAATAATAAAAAATGTTTTAAAGTCCCCCGCCCCCGCGAGCACGCGCGTCGCCACGTAAACACGCGTCGGGTGCGCCTACGTATGAAAACGACGAACGCGCTACACATGTTGGGTATCGCCGCGCACGCCGGAGTGAGACCAATAATTCTAGGGCCAGTATTTTGGGGTATCTCTAAATTGATGACCTGTGGGGGCTTTTAAAGCGTCTTCTATTGACTTTTTGGGGTACTGCAGTTTATCGCCGTTTCACGGACGCACGCAATTTGTAACCTGGGCATGTTGGGTATCGTTTTACTCATTGTAACCTCATCTTCTATATGTCATTTAAAAAATTGGTATTTTGTTGTGTTTTGGGGCATTAAATTAAAATTTTCACTAAATGTTGGGGTTTAATAAGGAGTTGCGCTAATATTGCGCAACATAAAAATTTGCAACTACCACCATTTTATTCTATAGGGTCTTGGCATTCAGAAAATATATAATGTTGGGGGGTTTTAAGTCATTTTCAGGCCTAAAATGTGGAATATAACATGGGTGCAAAAAATGAAAAAGGGCCTCAGTCATGAAGGGGTTAAATACCACCAAAAGAAAGCTCTATCTGTCCCCAAAAAATTGTATAAAATTCATTTCAGTACAGCGTTGTATGACGGAATAAATGTCAGTCAAAGTACCGCAGCGCTGAATACTGAAAAATGGCCTGGACAGGAAGGGGGTGTAACACCTGGTCTTGAAGTGGTTAATCTCCGAATGGCACCCGGGGTCCATCAGCAACAGTGCACTGACACTTGCATGGGGAAAGGCATTGATCTGGTCTTAAACAATGGCAATAGTACAATAATTGTTGGACTTATAAGAACAATAGACTATTAGTAAATTAATCTAAGTTTTGAGGTTTGCATCTAGCAAAGATTCGGCCTACATTTGCCATATCATTTAATTAAAAGAGAACTATGGGGTCAGTGTTTCCCCCATAGTTCTCTTAAGGGTCACGGGTATCCCTGCAGGGAGCGGTGACTGACAGTCACGGCTCTCTGCATGGAAATGATCGAGAAGTGAGCGAGCGACGGTATGCGTTCGCACACTTCCCGATCTATTAAGCCGACGTGTGACAGTCTCATACTCACACGTCGTATATTTTATTCTATAGGGTCTTGGCATTCAGAAAATATATAATGTTGGGGGGTTTTACGTCATTTTCAGGCCTAAAATGTGGAATATAACATGGGTTAAAAAATGGAAAAAAGGGCCTCAGTCATGAAGGGGTTAACTCTCCCAGCGCTAGAATCAGTAATGATGATGTAAATTAAGCTTGTTGGGGTATTTGCAAATTCTTGCAGTGACGTCACTGGTTGCTAGGATCTTAGAGTGACGCCGACTAGAGCGTCTCGAGTTGTTAAGAGCTGAGCGGGGAGATGTGTGTGGCCCTTACACATCTCCCTGCCTGGCTCTTGGCAAACTGGAATGCTCTGGCTGGAAAGGGGGTGACAGGCCTTGCCACTCTGCCTGCCACCCCCCCACATGAGCCAAAGAGATGCTGCCCGAGGTCAACAGCCTCAGGCTGCCAGATTAAAGGGACGGCCTTGCCTAGGGGCTAAAATAAAGAAAATATACATACCTGAACCTCGGTTCCGCTTGGCTGTTAAACCAGTCCCCGCAGCCTCTTCTCCCCCAGGGGTATAAGGGCCTGTGACATCATTGCGTCTAATGCAGCTGCATTAGCCATGAGGGCAACGAGGGGGAGAGAGGTGAGCGCTCACCACCACTGGACTGAAGACTGGGCGAATATATTTTCTTTATTTTAACCACAACAAAAGGAGCAGTTAACCCTTGCAGGGTGGGGGTAGCCCCGCTGCAAGGGTTAATTTTTAGATTGCCTGGTGTTCTCCTTTAACACTTGTATGTTCCTCCCCAGTCCATTATTGCCTACTTCAATAAACACGCCGGGAAAACCAGAGAGGAGTCCAAGGTCGCCTTTCTGAAGATCATCTTCAAGTGGCCAACATTTGGTTCAGCCTTTTTTGAAGTCAAGGTAAGAAATATATTGACCCCGCCCCTTTTCCCCTAACCACACCCACCCCCCTTGGCCGTTCTACCTCTTTCAGGTGAAGTTCTGCTCTCTCACCTTCCATAATCGAGGATTGCCCCAAGAAATCCAATACAGTTGCAAAAGAATTAAAAATATTATATCCCAAACCTTTCCCACCATGAGGCAGGCTGCAAATTGGGAAACTACAGTGTTTCATTTAGATTTGATTCCTACCAATGTCATGTGTTACCTAATCCCTAATTACAGCAACGATGGAAACTAGAATAACCACATGCTTGCATAGTTTTCAAGTGGAGGACTTTCAGAGATAGAGAAGATGACTACATGTTACTGAGCTGCAGAGAGTCGTGTAACTCCCCTATACAGCTTCCTTCCCTTTTTTGGAATTAAATGTCCAGAGGTGCACAGGCAGGAGGTATTGCTCCTTTTCTATGTTGCCTCTAGTGTTCCTAGGTGTATAGCACTGCTAAAACGTTTTCCCCTAATGAGCCCAGCCCTGGAAATAGGCCCCACACGCCACACCTCTGAACTACAACCGGTTGTGATGATATGACACACGTGAAACAGTACTCTATGCGGTGTAAAAACCTTCTTTCATGTCACCACCAGAGGGCGCCACCTGAACTAAAGCTCTTGGCTTTATATGGTGTCCTGTGCAGCTGCCAAAGAGCAGCATTTGACTATTTTCTTACTGAGACCCACAATGTAAAAAAATGCATTTATTGTGCTTGTGATGTGGGACATGTGCATTATTTTTCTTTGCATAATCTGGAAATTTTCCAGCTGTCACTGATCTATTGTAGGTTACGGAATGGAAGGTTGGAGAAATTGGTTACTGTGGAAGCACTCTCCTTTTGTGTAAAAAAAATTTAAAAAAGTCTGAGGCCTTTAGTGTTTTTGGACCATATAGGGCCAACCGGCAAGTGTTGGAGAAATTTAAAAAGTACCAGTGCAGTGGGGCTTGTGGAGTGGCAGGGGAGTAGAGTGGGAAGATAGTGGCGTGGGAATGGAGTCGCTTGGGAGTGGAGTGGAGTGGGAGTGGAGTAGCGGGGGAGTGGAGTAGCGTGGCAGTGAAAGGGCAGGGGAGTGGAGGGGGGGGGAGTGGGAGGGAGTGGGGGGAGAGCAGTGAGAGAGTGAATCTAGGGAGCTGGGCCATTACGTAAACCTACTTCTTTGCCCTCCATAAGCAAAACACAAGTTCACTTTGATGTTGCTTCCAGGGCCAAAAAAACCAGCAACAAGTTAGTAATTTTTTCTGTGTAATGATAATTGGAGTGCTGAAGATATCACTGACCCGGAAAACAATTGTTTATTATTTTTTTATTAGCAAACCACAGAGCCTCATTTTCCGGAAATTCTCCTGATCGCAGTGAACAAGCACGGTGTCAGCCTGATAGACCCCAAGACAAAGGTAGAGTATATATATATATATACCTTCCCGTCTACGCCTCACTCTAATAGCAATGCTGCCGGAGCTCCCTTGTCAGCCTGTCACAGGGAGAATATGGCACAACGTGTGCGGGTGAACGTCTGAGACACATTTGTAGTCATCTTAATTCTTAAGTTACATACAAACCAATGTAACCCTCAGTTACTGAACTAACTGCATTTCAGGCGCACAACAGGTGTGCAAAGTAGCAAAGTTTGTCCCCTGCAAGCTGCCGTAGAGCGGGACCTTTGCTCTCTGGGGGCCAGGAGTGGTCCAACACGTCCCTTACAGAGTCAGACCCAGAGCTCTGCAATCAGTAAAGCCCAGGGTTCCTGCTGATTGGGCAGCTCTGGCTCTGAGTCAACAAGGGGCGTGCCATACCTCTGCAGAGAGACCCCTGCTTCCACACAGAGAACAAGGGTCCCGCTCTGAAGCGTGCCGGCTTTTCTACTACTCATTAAAGGAAAAAAAAAAAGCTTTCCAAGTGATATTATCATGTTAAAGGTTATATGAGATCTTAGTATTTGGGTTTACATCCACCAGCAAGCTATGCTCGAGTTGTTTGAATTGCAGTGCTGTGCCGTCATATCACATGACACTAAAAGTGTGACAAATGTTCTCCCCGCAGGATATTTTGGCCACTCACCCTTTCACAAAGATCTCCAACTGGAGCAGTGGAAATACTTACTTCCACATCACCATTGGGAACCTGGTGCGAGGCAGCAAGCTGCTCTGCGAGACGTCACTGGTACGTGAGCTACGCTTGTGTTTATTCTTCTCATTTATAAAGCTGTGACACTTTGACATAGTACGTTACAAAAAAAAGAACATTGAACATTCACACTGCTCCCAACCCCCAGAAAGAACCTAAAGCTGAACTCCGGGCACAATAACCACATAGGATAAAATTTCCCTTTTGTGTAAATTTTCCTTTGTAAAAGTAGCAGTGTCATCATCGCTGTGCTATACAAAGCCTGTGCAGGGAGCAGAGCTGTGGGAGGGTACAAGCAGGCTCCACCCACTACAAGGATCCTGCAGAAAATTACAGGAGGAGGCGGAGACAAGACCAGTCACCCTGCACAAGGAGAGAGAGCAGCCGTGACTGGTCTTTATTACAGGAGGGGGCGGAGACAAGACCAGTCACCCTTCACAAGGAGAGAGAACAGCAGTGACTCGTCTCTATGACAGTACAGGGCAGAGACAAGACCGGTCATCATGAACAAGTAGAGAGAACAGCAGTGAGCGGTCTTTATTACAGGAAGCTCCAAGTCTCACACGGGATTACTGCACAGATCTGGAAGAAATACACAAAGCTCACCAACATTCAATAAGAAGACACATGACTTTTGTATGAGGACAATGTTTGTTGATCCCGGAGTTCAGCCTTAATGTATCTCTAAACCTGAACTACAATGAGTTAGTTTTGGCACTTTTTTGGTATTATTTTGGCATAAGCTGGAACTTCTCTTTAAAGGAAGTCTGTGCTGTCATTGCTGACCTCTTCTTTCTAACATGCTAGCTGCTTGGCAGTCATGCTCATCCATTTACTTCAATTCTTCCCCAGTTACTGACCCAATATAATAATCCAGGTCGGGAGTTCTCTCTCTCTGGATTTGCTGCAGGTCAGTGACTCATAAAACACTGAAGCATGAGAACGTTATGACAGCCAGTCAGCCAGTATTTTCAGGAGGAGATCAGCAGGAGCAGCCTCCATACAGCACAGATCCCATAACAGCCTTTCACGACTTCCATCTTTTCAGGGGTACAAGATGGACGACCTCTTGACGTCCTACATCAGCCAGATGCTGACGTCGATGAATAAACAACGAGGAGCGAAGGGCAGCAAGTGAACTGAGGGGCAACGCTGGCAACTGGCCGTAGATTTGATTCGCTCTTCCAAGCCCGTGGGCTACCCGTGCAGCTGGGGCAAGAGCTTTTGTCCTCAGGTATGGAACATGAACAGAGCCGAGTCCCGGGCTTCCTCCGGCTCAGAGACTGAAGGTTCAACTTCCCTGTCCAGCGAGGACGACTACCTGTGACTGACGCGGGCAGCTTTGGTCATGGTTTGGTTTACAGCAACGGGCCACAAACTGGGAGCACGGAGTGACATCAATGATCAGAAATATCACTTAAGAAGAGTTTCCACTGTAAGGCTACAAAGGCGGTTACAACGGTTCGCTGCTTGAAGATTTAAAGCCACCTCCAAAAATTAACAGACCCTCCCCAACCCTTCCATATAGTCCCCCCTCCAGTATTTGTACTGGAGTCTTCTGCCCGGTCATGTGACGTCACGGGTCCTTTCCCTTCTCTGACAGCAGCAGTAGACGCTCCCTCCTCTTGGATCAACCTAACGAGGTGTGAGCGCCGTTCTGTGCAGTACTGCTGTGAGCCCATGCTGGTGTGATGATTCACCCCTAGGGGGCGTGTCCATGACGGCCTGGGCTCACAGAAAGTGTCTGGCCGTCATTCACCTTGGAAGAAGATCGGCACAGGATTGAGGACTCTGCAGGTAACAGGGCAGAAGAGGAGGCGAGTATTGCGGCACAAGCTGCTTTTTTAATGTGTAACAGGCTGTGCTACTTATATTTTAATTTTATCACAGAGGCGGAGTTGGACTTTACCCCACTTTTTGGCCTTATTTGCACCACAATGGACATAATGTGCTACTTAATGAGACTCTTGTCAACAGCTAGTTAAATCTCTCAGTAGCATAGATTTGATTGCCCGTATAGCCTTGGCTTAGGCACATTGAATGTATTCATTTTAAAGAGACCCTGTCAGCATAAATTCCGATCTCTACTACCAATACCATGAATATTTAAAGCTACTTGGAGTTTGTTAACATTGGTCAGTTTTTTTCACATTTTCAGCTTTCTATCTTGAGCTGTTATCAGCGCAGTCTGAGCTACAATTGGATAGTAATCCCTTGTGCCTCTTCCCATACACCCATTGTAAGATTCTTCTGTGGTGGATACCTGTATCTTCCGTCCCATGCTGTGGTTGTATTCTCTGACCCCCCTCTGTCAATGTTGCGTTCTCTAGGGCACATAGGGCCACGGGTAACCACAGCCCAAGGCAGAGGTCACAGACTTCCACACTCTCGGAAGGGTTAAATGCTGAAGAGTCTCAGAGAGGATAGGAGGGTAGGAGACACGGGCCACTGGAGATGGGAGTGTAATACCTCCTCCATTCCACTGATCGTTCATCATCTGGATTTTATTGGGATTTATTTAACCCAACACGTTAAATGCACCACCACATCCATGACCACAAGGTACTGGTGCAAACCGGCCCCAAGGCTCTCACACTCCAGGCAATTATTATTATTATACAGGATTTATATAGCGCCAACAGACATTACAATCACAATACAATTCAAGACAAGATGGTAAGGAGTGCCCTGCCCCTGAGGGCTCACAATCTAAAATGGGAGGGGCCAGTGATACATGAGGAGGTAGCTGCGTGGGGAGGAATTACTGTATCTTTGCCTAGACTGCACAGATTTCTGCAGCTGGAGTGGATAGTGTAGAGCCTGTGGTGACAGGGTCTCTTTAACGTGGTAGCATTATAGTCGTCCAAATTTCCGGAGCCACAGAACAAGACGGAGAGAACACAGGACAGTGCGTGTTCTAAGCAGAAACATTTCTGGACATGTGAGAAGAAGCCTCGAAAGGAATTCAATAGAAAACCGATCCAATATATATGTATATCGCAAGTGACGGGAGTCCTAGAGAAATCTTACAGTATTTAAAGAGAAATTTTAACAAAATATATTATTTATTTAACTTAAAACGATGGACCATTTTTTTTGTTTTGTTTTGAAATGTTGAAGTTGGAAAAAGAAATGATTCAGTAAAAAAAAAAAGCACTGGTTGTATTGTAATGAGGAGTGTGTAGAATGTCCATTGGTTTATAGAGGACGGGGGTCACAAAGGGTTTTTCAAATCATTCTTTAAATTGATATATTTGTAAATATTTCAGCCGCCGGCTCTCATCTCCGTGACGACACGCTGACACTTCAGCTGACAGCCCCAAGGCGAGATTTCTAATGAATTTCATCTGGATTTACTTCTACGGGGTCAGTGTTTTTCCCCATAGTTCTCCTCAGGGTCACGGGAGGACATAAACTAGCGTCCTCCCGTCACCCTAGGCTCAGTATATATACTAAGACCGCTGCAGCCGGGAAGGATCCCAGCGTTACTGTCTGGATCCACCCAGGTGCGTGATTGACAGCTGGCTCTGCCTATCTAGAGGCAGAGCCAGCTGTACCCGCCCCCACCCCCGTCCGTTCCGCCAGTCAGCGCTGGAGGATCTGACAGGGGAGGGCGGGGAATCCCAGCAGGGGGCCGTGAGTGACAGTCACGGCTCTCTGCAGGGAGATGATCGAGAAGTATGCGTTCGCTCACTTCCCGATCTATTGAGCCAACCTGTGACAGTTACATTGTCACACGTCGGCTTGAACTATGAGGCTGAGTGATTTTCACTCACCTCATAGTTCTCCTTTAAGCCCCGAAGAAGGAGGCTCTTCCCTTGAGATGTTCTGGGTGTAGTTTAATCTATATACATTATACACTAATATCAAGCTACCTGATTATTTTTACCAGGCTCTCCTAACTCAGATTATACTGGTAGAAGGAGAAAGCCACGGAAATGAAAGTAGCTAAATGTTAGCAGAATTTGGTCGCTAATCAAGGAAAATGATGTCCTGAGTATTCATTGGCTCCAGTTTCCAAGCTACAGCTTCAGGTCAAAATTGCATCAAAATTACGAGGGTGATGTGCGATTACGCTCCATAACTTTTCTGCAAAATGTGATATAGCAATGAGAATGGTGCCACACCGATCATTATACATTCACAATCAGCTTCCCAATCCATCCTAAAAGGTGTTTAGATCAGGACGCTGTGGAGGCCACTCGAGTTCATCCACACAAAACGCATTAAGCCAAGTCTTTATGGAGCTGGCTTTTTACACAGGGGCCACTCATGCTGGAACAGAAAAGGACCTTCACCGAACTGTTAGCGCAAGGTGGAAGTGCACAATGGCCCAAAATGTCTTTGTAAGTCTGTACACCTGCTGTGACCATTATGAGGAGCTCCCTCCTTCCTTGCATTGAGTTCTCATGTCTGTACACCCGCTGTGACCATTATGAGGAGCTCCCTCCTTCCTTGCATTGAGTTCTCATGTCTGTACACCCGCTGTGACCATTATGAGGAGCTCCCTCCTTCCTTGCATTGAGTTCTCATGTCTGTACACCTGCTGTGACCATTATGAGGAGCTCCCGCCATCTTTCCTTGCATTGAGTTCTCATGTCTGTACACCCGCTGTGACCATTATGAGGAGCTCCCTCCTTCCTTGCATTGAGTTCTCATGTCTGTACACCCGCTGTGACCATTATGAGGAGCTCCCTCCTTCCTTGCATTGAGTTCTCATGTCTGTACACCCGCTGTGACCATTATGAGGAGCTCCCTCCTTCCTTGCATTGAGTTCTCATGTCTGTACACCCGCTGTGACCATTATGAGGAGCTCCCTCCTTCCTTGCATTGAGTTCTCATGTCTGAACACCCGCTGTGACCATTATGAGGGGTTCCCTCCTTCCCTACACTAAGTTTATGGGTCTCTACACCTGCTGTGGCCATTATGAGGAGCTCCCACCATCCCTGTACTACATTCCTGTGTCTGCACACCTACTGTGCCCATTATTAGGGATTCCCACCATCCCTGCTGGATTTCCAATTATTGTATATTATGGAGAATATATTATGAGGAGCTGGGACATTGTTTAGTAAATAACACAGATAAGTGGCACATGTAATGCAACAATAATGAGGGGCCCACCTCTTGTCCTGATCCCCTATTTTGCATCTAAAATATAGGTGGTAGGCCTTTTTTACCACTGCCGTCATACTGCACTTTTGAGATGCAAATGTCACCTCGCCACAAATGCATCAAAAGTTATTTGCATGGTTTACACAGTTTCGAGTCATCTTGGCTTCTGAGGGAAAATGTCACGCAACTGTTCCCTGGAAATGTTCGGCAATGACTTTCACAAGCCACCAGATGTACATGTATGATGCGTAGATCTGACCGAGACAAATGTACCTTGCAATAAAAGAACAATACATGACAGTTGGGTAATAATCTTTAGTCTCGAAGTGAAGATAAATGTATACACTTCCATGTGGCACCATTTTCATTGTTCTACTGTACTTTGTCGAGAAGTTACGAGGCATCGTGATCATCACACACCTCCCTCCCTTGTAGGCAAATATACTCGCCCCTCTATAAATCTTTATTGGGAAATATCTTGAAAACTTTAGCCAACCAACCAGCACTTTTATCACCTGTTTTCTAATTTATCTCATAAAACTATGTAAGAATTAACACATTTTATCTCAGAGGTCGGTCATTTCCTAAAATTTGTAGACCAGTGTTATCTGTAAACAATAAATTGTGCTGCCTTACCACTCCAACACCCCAAGCCGATCTCCAAAACAGCTCCAGGAGCTTCTGGTGCAAATGGCACAAGCTCACCCTTGATCCCCGTCTAAGCACCACCTTCTAATGCATTTCACCCACTAGGGCAAAAACAGAGATCTCAAGGATTAAGCCATAGCGGGTGAAACGCATTAGAGGGTGGGGCATAGACAAGGATCATAACATGGACTTGTAATGCCTTTAATTATGTTTTATTCTGAGCTATGGAGCCGGTGATTTGACCATTGATTGTTGTTTGGAATACTGGGGAGCAAGATGTCTGTGGAAGTTCTCATTCATCCAGGTCATGATATATCTGTAATAAATACATCGAGGCAACTGGAATTGCTGTAAAAAATACAAAGAAAAAGTACATCAAGTCCAGTTGCCTCGATGTATTTATTACAGATATATCATGACCTGGATGAATGAGAACTTCCACAGACATCTTGCTCCCCAGTATTCCAAACAACAATCAATGGTCAAATCACCGGCTCCACAGCTCAGAATAAAACATCATTAAAGGCATTACGAGTCCATGTTATGATCCCTGTCTATGCCCCGCCCTCTAATGCGTTTCACCCGCTATGGTGTAATCATAAAGATCTCTACTATTTGTGGGTGAAACACGTTAAAGGGTGGGGCATTGACGGGGATCTTAATATGGACTTGTAAAGCCTT